AAGCAGACTCCCCGCTGAGCAGAGAGCCTGATGCAAGGCTCCATCCCAGGATCCTGGGTTGGAGGCAGAAGCTTTAACCTACTGAGCCACCCTGGCGCCCCCAAGAGAAGATTCTTTTTTTTTTTTTTTTTTTTTTAGATTTCATTTATTTATTTGACAGAGATCACAAGTAGGCAGAGAGGAGTCAGGCAGAGAGAGAGGAAGGGAAACAGACTCTCTGCTGAGCAGAGAGCCCGCTGCGGGGCTTGACCCCAGGACCCTGGGATCATGACCTGAGCTGAAGGCAGAGGATTAACCCACTGAGCCACCCAGGCGCCCCAAGAGTCAGATTTTTAACTGGCTGACCCATTCCAGGCACTACAGGGCTTCTATCTTTTTACTGTGTTCCCAATCTATAGATTTCTACATCTTTTTTTCCTTGTAGTTTATTTTTTAATGAAAACAGATCATTTGTTTTTTAATGTCTGCTATTATTGGATCAAGAGGCTTGCCCTTATCCCAGTTCTTTTTTCTTTTTTTCTTCCTTGATACAAGTTTTTTGTTTTTTTGTTTTTTGTTTTTTTTTTTTTTTTGAGCTATTTGATTTTAGGGTTTTTTTGTTTGTTTGTTTGTTATTTTGAGATATTTGCTTTTTGGTTTGTTTTGTGTTGTTTTGGCATTTTTATAGTGCTGTTGTTGGTGGTGTTTATTGTGGGAAAGACAAGCACACTTTATGTTCTTCCAACAATAGACACATAATGTATGACTCCCCCCCCATTACTTTCAAGAGAAGGACTTTCTAAGATTCATTAGATGGCAGAGCTGGAAGCGCCTTCAGATGACCTAGTAACTGTCTCATTTTACAGATGAGAGAATACATACATGGGATAAAAAAAATAAGCCAAAAATCACATAAGTGATGGAGCCAGCTTTAATGAATTGCTTCAGTTTTTATGTTTTCTGTATTTATTGAGGTATAATTGACAAATAAAAATTATATATATTTAAGATATACAACTTAATGTTTGGTTTATGTATACATTGTGAAATAATTGCCATAAGAAAGCTATTAATATATCTAATTTCATAATTTAATTTTCTTCTTTTTGTGGTGATTACACATAACATTTACCCACTTAGCAAATTATAAGTATAATACAGTATTATTAATTCTATATGCGCTGCTATATATTAGATCTCCGGAACTTAATCATCTTATTATAACTGGAACTTTGTACTTCTTGATCAACATCTTCCCATTTTCCCCTCCCTCCAGCTCCTGGCAACCACCATTCTACTCTCTGCTTCTAAGTCTGACTATTTTGGATTCCACATATAAACAAAATTGTTTAGTATTTGTTTTTTTATGTCCAGTTTATTTCATTCAACGTGTTTCTGGGTTCATCCAGATTGTAGCAAATGGCAGAATTTCCTTTTTTAAGACTGATTAACATTCTATTATATGTATATATTTATCTATTTGTCCATTGTTGAACACTTAGTTTGCTTCCATATATTGGCTAAAGTGAATAATACTGCGATGGGACTACACATATCTTTTTTGAGATAGTGCTTTCATTTTCTTTGGATTGTCTATGCAAAATGGACAAACCTTTCAGAATCCCTAATAAAAGTAGAAAGAGAGTTTCATTTGAGCCCAAGTTAGGACAGCTGACCAGGAAACATGGTCTTTACAAGGAAGGAAGTGCTCCAGAAAATGAACATTTTTTATGGGTCTCTATACTTTTTTTACGTCTTATAAAGGCTCAAAATATTATAGATTAGCACATAGGCAGGGATCACAAGTTTTTTCATATAGGAATGCAGGTGATGTTGGATTTCTGAGAGAAAAATGTCAAGAAAGAATCCTTGACACATTTTCAGTGCAGAAAGGTTTTATTAAAGCATGGAACAGGACCCATGGGTAAAATTGCTGCACTGCGATTGTGTGGAGCAATTGACTATATACATTCAAGTTGGGGGACAGAATAAGGGAGGTCAATAAAGGGATTTCCACATGTTAAAGAGAACTTAAAGGATCCTGGAGGTCTGGCTATTGTCAAGCTAAAGACCCTTTTAATCTCTAGCAAAACATCAGCACTAAAGCTGCCATGAGTTCCTTGAGGAATGTCACACTCTGCATATCTCAGGTTATTTCTCAATGGGCTGCAAGTTGTAAGTAAATTTAATTTTATCTACACTTCTTTTGCCTTTCTTCTCGTCATCATAGGGAGTAGGAACATTGACTGACATCTCAAGGACATGATGGTTTTCCTTTAGGCTGCTCATTCCCAAAGTAGGTGTACAATGAATACATGTTGAGCCATAAATCAGACTTTTGATTTAAACAATGTTTGTGTACAGTCATGCTAGCTAAAAAAGAAATCCAAAATGGCTTCCCTTGTATATCAGTCCTTGAGAGAGTTTTTCTCTCATCAAGGTATATATCCAGAAGTAGGATTGCTGGATCATAAGGTAGTTCTATTTTGTACACATTTTAGTTTATAACCTCTGATCTAAGCCCTCTAATCAAAATTATTTTTCTAAACTGGAGGCTTTTTACAGCCTCCTCTGATAGCCATTTTTTTGTTTTAAATTTTGATGTTCCAGAAGTTGTATCCATTGTTGCTAGTCCATGTGGACTAGAGAATTTAAGATCTGTTTGCTGCCAAGTCGTATCACAAACTCCTACCTAATTCACTACTAACAATGCTCTTATTTTTATTTTATTTCTCTCATTATCTCACACTTTTGAGTGTGAATTATACCTCTTAATGATAATGTATAATAAAAAGAGAGATGTCAAATCAAAAAAATCTCCCTCCAAAATAGGTTACCTTCCAAATCTTGTAAGAAGGACAAGAAGAAAAATAATGTCCTGAGTGGGATACCAAGAACCTCACTTAGAAAAATAGAATGTGGCATTAGCTTAAAGGGAACCCTGTAAGTATTTTGTTTTCTTAACAGGAATTAGATAAGCAAGCACTGAGATGCAATAGGATGACTATAAGACTTGTGACCCAACAAATATGAATTTGAATCCTTGTACCGCCATGTAGTCACAAACTGTGTGACCTTGATTAAGTGCTTTACCTTCTGTGAATGTAGCCTTCAGAGATAAAACACTCTGCCTTTTTGGAGTTGGGAGTATTAAGTGAGCTCTGTCACGTTTATCAGAAGTCCATTCCTTTCAGAATTCTCAAAAGGAGATAAGCATTCACACATGTTGGAGGCTGTTACACAAGTGTCCTTGCCTTGCTACTAGTGGTTTAGCCACTTGGTGGTGATATGGGGTAGCTTTTCCATTTTAACATCTCAAAAATATTGTCGTTAAATAATAAGGGTTAATTGTCGAAATATTTAAATTGTTAAAGGGACCCATCACCAGCCCCAAAGTAAAAATGCCTGTGAATGGTTGCTGTTCATTATCATGTGAATGGCACCCAGCCTTTGTAATTGGCTTAACAGATTTCATCAGGGTTTGTCTAAGGATTCTGTCTCAGTCAATGACCCACTTAGTAAAAAAAGCATGCCTATTGATGGGGTCAGTCTCTCAGGGGCATTTACCTGGGGAGGAGGGTTTGAAAATTAGTGTTTGAGCTGGGTTGTCTCACTGCCTCACTTCTCTGCCCCCAAACAGCTTCCTATACTTTATTTGCTGCCTCTAGTACTATTTGAATGAGCAGTAGAGGCACTCAGTTCCATTAAAAATAATTAACTGATACCTGCTTTGTATGAGTCACATGCACTTGCACTTGAAAGTTTACCACCTGGTAAGGGAGGCAGGTAAGAAACAGAAAATTGTAATGTATTTGCTTGCTAATGGTGTCAGTCAAGAAGAGGACAATAGGCTGTGATAGCCCTGAAGGAGATGTCACCTAAAGGATAAATAGACATTATTTAGATCCAGAAGGAAGAGGACATTCTAAGAAGGAGTGGCATGAAACAACATGGTATAGCCAGAAAACCTAATCTAAGCTGTATAGTGTATCGAGAGTGTCAGAGGTCAGCAGTCCTCAGATGGAGACTCCTAGAGAGGTAATAATAATAGTAGATATTTCTAATGCAATATTTCCAGGATACCATTCTAAAGCAATTTACTCTATGTAACAGCCCTCTGAGGTGGATACTATTTTTGCATGCGGAAAAACTGAAGTCCAGAGAAGTTAGGTCACTAATACTGTTGCAAAATTGAGTGGTACTGTTAGGATTCAAACCTAGGTCAGATTCAGAGTCCAACCTGTACACTGGGGTTAGAAAATAGGCTATAAATTGCAACTTTGAAGAGAGTCGGCCCTATCCTATAAGTGCTACAAAGCCCCTACAGAGAATTTTAGTAAGGAGAGTGATTAGGGATCAGAATATTGGTGATTGCAGCCTCTACTCTGATGAGACTGACTGACTGTGATTTCAAGGAAATCCCTTTTCTTCTTTGGACCTCTGGGTTTTTTGTTTGTTTGTTTTGTTTTTGTTTTGAGGGGTGTGTGTGTGTGTGTGTGTGTGTGTGTGTGATTTCATCTGTAAATTGAGGATGGTGATGATAAAGGGCTAATTTTAAAGATCCCTTCCAGCTCTTTGAGTTTTTTTACTTTCAAACAAGGGGTGGGGGAGGGTCTAGATTCCTGACTGGAGTCAGACTGGTTAAGCTGGTAGGTACTTCTCTAAATGTTTTGTTCTTTTTTATGCATCCTTTATACATGCTATATTTGTTGCCTAGAATGTTGTCTTGCTTCTTTCCTGTCTTTCTAAATAACTTTCTAACTATAGCTGCCTACCCTCCTTCTCTTAACTCCTACAATGCTGCTAAGTTAGCTATGTCTCACTTAGGTACCTAATAATATACTATCTTTTATTCTATGCTACTTGTTTTCTTTGTAGTATTTTCTTCTCGTATATATTTTGGACTCACCTTTTTTCCTACTTTTTAGTTTCTCTTTCCTCCTATATCATCTAACAGAGTCTTGGTTACAAGGAGTTCTTGGAGAAAATTTTGTTAATCATTTTTTTTTCTCTTTTGGCAGTGTATGTGAGCACAGCAAAGAGAATCTTATGACCCCCTCCAACATGGGTGTTATCTTTGGGCCCACTCTGATGAGAGCTCAGGAGGACACTGTTGCTGCCATGATGAACATCAAATTCCAGAACATTGTGGTGGAAATTCTAATCGAGCACTTCATCAAGGTATGTATTCCCTGTTCTCACCATCACTTCTCCAAGCATGTGAAACTTTCCCCTAACCACCTTTTAGAGTTGTGTCTCCCTCCCTTGCTCAAGTTGGTAATGGAAGGAAATTCCAATATGGCACAACGGCATTTAATAGCATTTCTGACACTGTGAAATTCATTTAGCAAATATTGCTCAATTCTGTAACTATTTTATTATCAGACACCAGGCTAAATGGTATAGAAGAAGAAAAAAAAATCATTGTTCCTGCCTTTACAGAGTTAACAGGTTAATATGAAGATAGCCATATATACAAATGAAGATGATAGATATAAAAGTGTTGCATGTACAATGAAACCATAAAGATAGAAATACCTATTCTTTTTAAACTTCATCTCATTTCATAAACAAAAATAACATGGTATATTTTATATGGTATATAAAATACAAGGTACTATACATTATAATTAGGTCAAATGAAAAAGAAAAATTAAGTATAGAGACAGAAAATGAATCCAATAATGAGTCTAGACAAGAAATAATCATTGACAAGTCCTGTGCACTTGCTACAGATGGCCCTTCATCTGGCTCTAAGCTTTCTAGCAGCCAGTACTATCCTAGGAAGGTATAATTCAATAAAAACTTTTCTGCAGGGGGAGGAGTCTAATGACACAGTCTAAACCCAAGCTCTGCCACTTACCACCTATATTTGGTGGGATACAGGTTAGGTTTCTAAGACTCTACATACAAACACAGTGGCTCCAACAAAAGAAACATTTATTACTTGATTAGGGAATAGTCCAGTAAGGTATTCCAGTGCTGGTATGGTGACTTGACAGGGGGCAAGAACCCAGTTTACTTCTTTCTTGTTGTTCTGCCATCTCTAAGGTACTGCTTCATCTGCATGACCAAATAAATACCTTCTATATTATATCAGTTGAGAAGGATGAAAGAAAGTCAAATGAAGGATATAACACTTTCCTTTAAGGCCAGGACCTAGAAATCACGTATATCACTTTTATGTAAATAAATGGTATGTAAATACCATTCCAGAATAATCCAGTGGTCACATCTGGTGGTTGAGTTAAGGAGGTATAGTTTTCATTTGGGGCCCTCGAGTGACCAGATAAGTCTTTAGTTCTTTTTCTAAAAGAAAATAAGATAATATATATTGGATTACAACTGGCATTCTCTGCTATATTATCTGTGTAACATCAAACAGCTTCTCTGATAGTCATTTTTTTAGCTGAAATGTGAAGATGATAATAAACCTGTACTATATGAAAGTCACATGTCCAAGGCTACTTAGCTAGTAAGAGAGACAGGGTTTAAATCCAAGTAGCCTGGCTCAGAGTTGAAGTACTTAATCACTATGAAGTGCTGCCTGATCAATCATTTTTGAATGGTGATATTATTGGGCATAGAGGACAATTTGGGATTATCAAGGATGGGTACTTGCAGAGAAGTACGACTTATGTAAGTACTAAATGTGGAAATAAAGGAAAATAGGGAAAGGAAGTTTCAAGGAGATGACCCAGCATGAACAAAGGCCAAAGACCTTAAACTTCAAGAAATTTGGTATTGTTGGAACATGAAATAAAAATAGCAGTGGCCAGAGATGTGATTGGAGGCAAACAGGGCCAGGTCCTAAAAGGACCTTGTCTTGTCTAGTTGAAGAGTTTGGAATGTTTGTCATTTTTCCTACAGGCTTGGGAAAGCATTGCTTAAAGGTAGAATAGTATGATGGATAGACTTACATTCAGGAGACGTTTTCTTGTCTGTAGTGTGAAGGATAGATTACAGAGAGAGAGGGTAGTGCCATTGTCAGATCAATAAATAACTGTAGTCTGAGTCAGGGTGGTGGGAAGAGGAACAGGTATGGAAAAGCATAGGACTTAGTGATTAGAAGTGGAAAATGCGGGAGTGGAAGATGTCTGAACTCTGGATTTCTGACTTGGCTGACTAGATGGATGGGGCTGTCTTTCATAAATATAAGAAATACAGAATGGGAAAGTTTGGGGGAAGATGGAAAAAAAACCTCGATTTGCTGCAAGTTGGAAGTCAGATTCCTGAAGGATATTGAGAAAGCAGTATCTAGGAAGTAGCTGGAATAAAGTAAGGAATAGCAAAGTTTACTCAAAGAAAATATTTATGGTAAGTATTTTAGGCTGTGCAGGTCACAGAAATCTTTCACAACTATTCAATTCCACCTTTATACTGGAAAAGCAGCCATAGACAACATATAAACAAATGAATATTCCAATAGAACTCTGTTTATAAAATAGGGAGCAGGCTTATGGGCTGTAATTTCTTGACTCTTGGTCTAAAGCCCAAATTTCATTTATTGATTAATTACTTGAGTAATATTCATTCAACCAATATGTATTGAGTACCCACTATTTGCCAGGTACTATTTTAGGCCCTGGAGATACAGCCCTTTACATTCATCTTTAGAATTTACATTCTAAAGGAAGTAGAAAAACAATATGCAAAATAAGTAAAATACATAGTATGTTAGATGGTAATGAACATTAAGAAGAAAAATAAAGCAGAGAAGAGGAATAGGAAATGTTGGAAAGTGGTTTTGCAATTTTAAAATACAATAAGGCCTCACTAAAAGGACAAATTTTGAGCAGAGATCCATAGGAAATAAAGGAGTGATTTTTTTTTTTCAGGTAATCTGAGGGAAAAGCATTCTAGGCTGAGATAATGGTAAGCACAATATCCCTGAAGCAGAAGTGTGCCTATCATGTTCAAAGTGCAAAAATCTTTTTTAGCTAAAAAAGCTAAAAATGATTCAACAAACAAACAAAAAAGAAATATAAGAAGATGGATTCAGAAAGAAAATAGAGAAAGCTGAGTAAATTCTATAGGTCCTTAGAATCCATTGGAAGGACTTTGATTTTACTGTATCTGAGTAAGATAAAAGGGAGGTTTTTAAGAGAAATAACACAATTTGATTTATGTTTAACAGGACTATTCTGGATGCTGTGTGGAAATAAGGGTAGAAGGAAGGAAACTAATTAGGAAGCTGTTTTAACAGTGCAATCAGAAAATGGTTGTACTTTAGATGAGGATAGTAATAGTGGAGATGGTAAGAAGTGGTCAAATTCTAAATGTATTTTGAAGTCAGAGCCAACAGGATTTGCTGACAAATCACATGTGGAATATAGAAGAGAGGAGTCATGGGTAACTTCCAGGTTTTTAATCTGAGCAATTGGAAGGATGAAGTTGCCATTTACTGATATATATAAGAATGAAGGAGGACAGATTTGAAAGGGAAAAAAAAAAGCATGAGTTCAGCCTGTGCAACATCTAAGGTCAGAGAAGAAAACAGGAATAGAGAAATATAGTTGGCCTTTAACAGCATAGAGATGGTGTTTAAGACATATGAATGAATATTTTTGCCTAACGAATACTTGTGTGAGAGAATAAATGTTAAACCAAGAATTGAAAACTAAGAAGTGCCAATGTTTGAAGGGCCAGTGGAAGAGATTACAAAACAGATTGAGAAGGATTGGTCAATGACGGAACTAGGAGATAGGGGAGCCACAGACCCTGGAAATGAGAGAGTCTTAGGAAGGAAAGAGAGGACAGAAGTTTCTATTTCTCAAGACATATCATGTCAGACAAGCACTGAAAAGTACCTACCGCTCTAAATGTTGGTGATTTTTTAAAAATATAAGCAATATATGTACATGGCAAAAATCACAAACCATAAAGAATAGAACACATTTCTATCCTTTACCTATGCTCAACTCCTAATTCCAATCTTCATTTCAATAATTTCTTGTCACTTTGGTGAAGGAAAAAAGTACATATATACACATATACATGCACTAAAATATTTGACGTATTTTATATGCATATATTATTCTTCTACTTAGTACAGCTAAAATCTCTGGGCATTATATATAAAAATAACACAAGAAGACTCAAAAATATGGAAGAAAGAAGGTGAACCAGACGGGCTAGGGACCTTAGGACCTGAGGAGTGACATGACCACAACTTACCTGGATTTTGTCTTTGCCTCATCTCCCAGATTGGGTAGTGTAGAAGCTGACTACCTGAGAACACCAATAGGTGCAGTCAAAAAAGGTATCAACAAAAGCCTACTCTCTTTAGACAAAGGACCTGGAAAGGAACAGCCCTAAAACACAGAAAAAATTTAGATAATAACCTCTCTACTCCAACAAGATAGCACAGAAGAAAAATGCAGCCCTACCTCCACCCCTTCCAGCAAATGCTGAGTGGAGAATCTAGATTTCTACCTTTTCTAGGCTGTAACAATCACCTGAGCCTTTCTCCCCTGATTCCATGCAGGCCAAGTGGGGACCCAGACTTTCCTCCTTACCTGGTGGTAATGAGACACCATCCTCCACTTTCAATGGTATTGGTGGAGACTACATGAAGCACCTGGACACCCATGCCTATTTGGCATCGGAGTAACATCAGAGGAGGCTTGGTAGAAATACAGGACTTTAACCACCACTCAGTGGTAATAAGGTTAGCACACTATGCTTTCAGTGGAGAAGAGACCATATGGGGAGCAGTAATGAGATACCCCTCCTCCTCCAGCCAGAGTGGTATCAGCAGAGGTGTAGTGAGAAGTCTGAACACCTACACCTGCCTAGCAATAACAAGAAGTTCTTACCTTCCACTGAGATGTCAATGGAAGACAAGTGGAAAACCTGGACTTTCACTCCATCCTGGCAGAAATGAGGCAGTGCTCCTCCTACCTTATAGTGGTAGTGTCAGAGGAGGCCTGCTATAACAGAAGATATAAGAACAAGACTCATATAGTACCCAAATTGTACAGGCCTCAGTCGAAAATCATTTGTCAAAATCTTACCAAGATGATTCATCACAACATGAATGAGAAAAGACCGTCAATAGAAATCAACACCAAGATGACACAGATGTTAATGATCTGACAAGAATTTTAAAGTAGCCACTATAAAAATGCTTTAATGAGCCATTAGGAATACATTTGAAAAAAAAAATAGAGAATCTCAGC